ATGCAAACAACTGGTGATGATAATACAGACAAAACTAAAAAGGGTAAATCTAGCAAAGCAAAAAATTAGTTGCAGGTAAAACACAAAGTGATGAAACTGATGCTGGTCCAAGCCAGAGGTCTGAAATAGAAGACAATGGAGTTACCAACTTGGAGATTGATACAAGACGCAGTAAAAAACATTCAACAACAGGTGGGAGAAAAAACGCTTCAGCTGAAGAAATCAGTGAAGGGAAAACGCAAGCAACTAAGCAACCAGATGTGTTTCTCCCACCCAACGATGCTGAGGACATTCTTACAGCCTGTACGCAGGTTTATGGGGCAGATGAGGATGCTGCAAAAAGTGCCACTGATGTGTTTACAGATGCGACACAGGTGTACGGAAAAGATGCTGCCGGGGATACAGAAACAGATGAATACACATCTTCTACTCAGGTTTATGGAGCAGACGGATGGGAAGCAGTTGAACGAAAAGATGAATTCACAGATGATACACAGGTGTTTGGTATTGAGCATGATGATACAATACCTATGGTGTCTGACAGTGAAGAGGAGGTAAGTTGTAAAATTTTCTCTTTTTTATGCATGTTTAAAACGTGATTATAAATATTTGGGATATAGATCTTACCTAAAAATAAACTAAAGATTAATTTCAGGCTATTGAGTTATCATCAAATCATGTATTCTGATATCATGCACTTATTTTTCAGTTGTTGCTTTCGACACTTCGTGAACATGGAAACACAATATTTAATCAAATTTTAAATAATATTGTCTATTATTGTAGCCACCAGGAACATACAAAGCAGGTTGTTTGTCAACAAATTTAATTTGTATATAAACAATATTGTTGTCCTTTATAGACTTCTTTTTTTATTCAAATAAAATCTAACCATTTAAAAAAAAACTACAAGCTAAATTTTTTTACTTGAATGCCAAATATCTATTGATTATCATTTTGCAGGATGTAAATTCTAAACGAGATAGACGACGACCAGTTAAGATACCTTCAATGTTGGCAAAAGTTCCAGCCAGGTCTGCCATGGCATCACCCAAGACGGAAGGATCTCCAAAAAAAATGCAGAAAGTTGAATTCGCTGTGAAGGTGAGGGTGTGGTATTGAGCTTTGAAGTTGCATTTTGTATTGTATGAAAAATGATAAAATCTGTTGCTATGACAACAGATTCTGAATCTAGCCTGCACTTGACAAAAACAGGGGTTATAGTGTCTAATCACCAAATCATAATTTCATTGTTGTGATCACACAAACACATTTGCATGTGCAAATTCAGGATGTTTATGATGGATTAAAATTTGACTAAAATAAACATTTGTTTAGACATAGTGATAAGTGGACAGAATGAAAACATTTATAATGCTGATCATGAGAGACAGATGTTAGTAATATGTTCTCCAAGATCATTAATTATGTAGTACTAACAGTAATTTATTATTCATTATGTATTATAATCATTCTTCTCATACTTTTTCCACCAAACAATTGCCAGTATTTTTCATTTTTATTAATTATTTATATTATGTTATGATGACCTTAATGTTTTTGAGTCTGAAATTTAACTAGTATTTTTCATATGCTGTGCTCTCGCTGTCGCTCGCAAATGTCGTAAATTACGAAATTTGGACAAGATTTACGAACAAAATAAATATCTATTAGTAAGATTTACGAACACATTTTGTACAAAATGCCCTCGCAAATCACCCTCATTTAATTGTCAAGACTCGACTGTGATCATCACGCGTGTTACGGTTTGAGTGATTGCCATTTTAAAGTTAAACAATGTCTCGTTACTTCTAAGATTGCAACAATTGTTACATGGTGATTGCGATCAACACGGAACTGCCACTGAATGTATTTTTCCACTCTAAAGTTATTTTGGTGTCATAGCACATGCGTAGTTTAATCGACATGCGTTTCAAGATACCCCGCGACATTACTCTCAGTATGGGATGGTTTTGTGTCGCCCTTATCAAACACGTGATTTGTTTATTTATTAAAAATGGAGACTACGTCAAAAAGGAGTAGACAACTGCTCGACGAGTATTTTTCACGACGAGATGGACTCAG